CATTCACAGGCCCCTTTCAGTTTTGTCTCAAGGGTACGGGATAGAATACAATGTAAATGATAGCGGTTCGTCTTTACATTTCGGCGCACCATCGAGAAATTTAGTAATTAGTGATAATTGTCTATTTGAACATCTTCGCTGATTATTTAGTTTTTATTGCAAATACTTATACGATAGGATACACGCAAAATTAAGTGTAATTTTTTCCTATGTCGGTTGTTTTGTATGAAGCAAATAATTTTTTTTTGTTAAAATATTTAACTTTAAAATATAGCAATTATCGATTTGAGATCTAGAGCCGTTTAATATTTTATATTACCCTGAACGTAAATGTAGCCACCCCCTATACAAAATACGAATAATATCACCGTGTATGTGCGTGTGCTTGTGTGTCTGTGTGTACGAGCGTGCAGACGCCAAACACATACAGAAGCTTTGTTTACATATCATTTTAAATGTCTGTTCAGTCGCCGAGCGAGTTTAGCCGGTACATCCGCGCTTCTTCCACCACGAGCGTTAAGCCGTTTAACTCAGCACAACACAAACGTTTTCTTTTACTGTTTTTACCCGGGCGAGTCTTACGCAACTCCTGCTTAATCTGCCGACCTCCCCTACAAATACCCCCCCCCCCCCCCACCGTCTCAGCATCTACCTGTTGTAGTCTCAGACAAACGAACGAGCGTCAGGCCAGAAACCAGGTTGATATAATATTTCCGATGACTTTGCATTGTGCATATTTTCTAAGTCGTGCTTACTACACGTTAGGCCGCAAGTACAGGGAGGGTTTTTTTAAAAAGTGAAACGGAAAAAAAGCACGTTTTAATCTACAGAAAAAAAAAATCTTATATTTTAAAATTTTAAAAATAAAAATAATGTAAATCTCTTCAGCAAGTCGCCGATTTAGGTCAAGGTCAAAGTAAACACCGGTTGCGTTTACTTTTTTTTTTTGTATGTTAAATTAGAACTGCCGACTGCGTGTGATAATATGTTACATGTGATAACATAATAAACGTAGAACCAGATACTTATAGACAGAGGCGTGGACAAACGACCATGTTAGCAGCAGGCAAACCCGGCTCTTAAACACACGTAGGCTCCACCAATACGGCTCATTTCTTTCACTGTCACGTCTCAAGGAGGGAACTTCCTAACAGACACATACACTAATCGACTTGTTATCACGGCACATTTCCTTCACCACTAGATCTAGACGCAATTATTACTCTGTACGCTGTAATAGTAGCCTACTCAATATAGCCTTTTCGTTTGGTATCTATATTCACTGTTCCGCCTGTATTAATCTTTGCCTACCTAACAAAAGACACAGATTCACGGATATCATTTTTCTCTTGCGCCGCACGAGTTTTCATAAATTTAAAAAAAAAAAAAAAAGAAATATCATTTAAAAAAAAATAAAAAAAATTATAATGTTAATAAGAGAAAATAATAGTTACGCTCATTTTTGTATTGAGTTCCGAAGTAAACTCTTATATATCTAATTAAAATTGAATTTTAATAATCTTTAATTTCCAAAACATAAACTTAAATAAAACTACGGTATGATTTAAAATATAAGCCATAGTTTTAAAACTATCAAATATTTTGACTATTTCGCAAGGGAGACAAAGGTAAAAATGAAATATCCAGTGCAATACATTTATATCGGTTACATCCCTTGATAAAATCGCGTGCGCTACTTTTCCTATCAATGCGTACCGAACATACCGGCAAGTTGTTACTTAATTAGTGATATAAGATTTTTTTTTAAATTTCATGTGTCGGAACTATGTAAAAACATGCATTATGTATTTAAAAAAAAAAAAAGCTGAATGATTTTTCATAACGAAGAAACTCGAGGAATTTTTTAATAAATCAAAGTGAATGAAAAACAAATAATGACTGCAAACCAATATATAGTTAAAATGAAATGACAAGAAAAGTAAAAAAAAAAGAGGGTGTTCTGATGATAAAATTACCTTGTTCTTCTTCCCTATCCCAATTATCCCGTGATTGTTGGCCTAAAATTACAGGCAAAATAATGGCTAAATGGCACCACCATAACAGAACGAGGGCCATCAATACAGTTCTCATTTTTTCCAGAAAATACTACATTAGCGCGATTTAAACGCGTAAGAAAACACAAAATACACAACTTTTCATGGAAAAGCACGCAAGTCCCAAAGCATCACAGCTTTAGACCAATATCAACTGGTCTGACTTTCTAACATACACTGCCCGCTTTTTAATCTCCTACTTCTCGTGCGGATTTTTCTATGGAAACCCGTCGGCGTAAAAATGAGTTTTTTCTGAGTCGGCGCCTCTCTCAATAAGCGACGTTTTCGCGTTGCGTTTTGCGCACAAATACAATTTTCTAAATATGATTTTAATTTATTTGATTGAAAATAGCTTTCACGTTGGATGGTAAATTTGTTACTAATTAAAAATAAACAAAGACTGCAGAATCGATTTGTGAAAGAATTAAAAAGAATCTATTTATATAATTCTCTTCTTGGATACCCTAGAAAACACCAAGCTGTAAGCGCGCCTAGCAGCCCTCTCTCTTCCTCTCTAAACATATCCCTACCACCCCCACCCCCACATGGTCTGGTGAGCTGTGGTTCACGCTACATGTTTACAATCGTAGAGCCGGGTTTAGTGACGGCTATTAGGGGCAGATAATTTAGTTTGAAACGATTTTAAAGTTAGGGGAGGTAACTAAGACTAGGCTGCTTTCACGGGGGGGGGGGGGGGGGGTTAGGGGTTAAGAGGGTGGGGGGGGGGGGGGGTAATCGTCCTTAACGACCTACTGATAGTGTTTTAAAGCAAATATTTTCAGTGGCAGCATTGGTACTGTCGAATTCACAAATTATGAATTACTGAAAAGTAGAAAATAAAACAATACGCCGCGGGTCGGCTCGTTATAAATATTGTGTTAAAAGATTGAATGATGAATGTGAAAACTAGTTGTATATTAAGTTATATCCATGCATTCTAAATGCAGAAATTAAGCAAAATGGAGAATTCATAACGAGAATATTAGGGGGTCGTCCATAATTGATGTCACACTCGTAAGGGTTGGGGTTCGTGATTTCATTAGGATGTGTGATGGGGGATACGTTCAGATTTTTAAAAAAAAGTAATATTTGAACCCCGAATTTTAGAAGCTATTTCGCGTTTTTTGGCAACTATTTTGGTAAATTGTAAAACAATTTATTAAATAACCCTATGTTAACCGAACTCTATCAATATTTTAGAGAACAAAAATAGAAGTTTTAAAAAAAAAATCCCTGCAATTTTGAGGGCAGGGTTTCTTCCAGGCATCTCTACCGCCCCCCCCCCCCGAACGAAATGAAATTTATATAATTTATATAGAAAATATATACTTTTAACAGTGTCCGCCCCCCCGAAGAAAGTCTACCGCCCCCCCCCCGAAAATTTCAAGTGCCTTCCCCCCCCCCCTCCCCCGGAGAAAAAAGTCTGGAAGAAACACTGTTTGAGGGGGGGGGGGGGGCTGACTTTGACTGGCAATGTGTGGCGAAAGAGAGGGGGGAGGTAAAAAGCGTCCAAAAAAAAAACGTGACTACATTAATGGATGGCCTCCATATAAAATATACGTACGATCCCTTACCTTTTTTTTTTTTTTTTTTACACCAAATAGACCTTGCCTAGTCTCTTCACATGGATGTTAATTAACATGTCTTTAACCAGCACCTGCTCAATCATTTGGTTTTACCAAAGCTGTTATTTCATTTTCTGCTTACAACATGTCGATTTCACAGCTCGTGAGTCATGTGTCCGACTATCATAAAACAAAGCAACCATTTCCCACTGTATGTTGATGTGTCCGTATATCCCAAAACAAAGCAACTCTTTCCCACTGTATGCTGCACAGTTCTATCACGCATCTCTCCGGAGTACGTCCATCGAGACCTCCCCACCTCCCCTTCTAGACCGATATAGAAAAATTATTATAGAAAATATATACTTTAATTAGTATCCCACTCACGTAAATATTAAGCCCCCCCCCCCCAGGGAGAAATTTATCTGTGAGGAAACTTGATTTCTAAAGCAAAATTTTATTTATATTAAAAAGTTTTTTTTTTGTAACAAATAATAAACATAGGTTATTTCGAATCTGCTCAATTAGGTTTATAGACGTAAAAAGCTGCTTTAAAAAATGGTGTGTTGGGGTGGAGGTTATTTTTTGTTACAATGTGTGACGATGGAAAAAAAAAGGGGGAGAGGTGGAAAACTAGCAAAACAAAAAAAAAGCATGAATTACCCTAGTTAGGCCTATTTGTTTGGTGACCCTCATACAATAATAAATATAAATCTACAGGCTTATCAAAAACGAACATAAGCATGCACATAAATAGTGTTTTTTTTTTTTTTACTTCGATTTGCTAAATTAGTAATAGATCTAATAAAAGATTTTTTTCTATATTACTGCACTATAAATAAAAGACTCTTTATGCCTATTCACGAAGTATTCAGTATTCAGTGAGTGGGCCAATCTACTGTCAGACTAGGGACGGGCTTACAACAGTCTACACTAATTATCAATTTTACTTTGATCTAGATCTAGATTAGAATTAGATAGGCAACTTTTTCGCACTTTACTGGCCTCGGCCGATTTTACGCACCTAAAACGATCGATTACCAGTAGTGCAGTAGTACTGTAGTATACTTAGTATAGATAGGCCCTACTAATAATAATAATAATAATATTTTGTCCAAATCCACATGCGAATTTACAAAGAAATTATAATTTTAAATTATTTAAAATATCTAAATTAAGATATTCAGTGGTAGAATAGTAGATTTAGTGGTAATACTTATATTAGATAGAGATAGGCACACAATTAAGATTAAGAATGAGAGAATAAGCCTTTTGCGATCGTCCAACGTTACTAATGAAGCGATTGAGAAAGCGAAAGTAGTTTCTGTAACAAACGATAGGAAATGACGTACAGTTTTGCAGCTTTCACGCATGCGCATTTTTACCAAACGGGAGACGCCATGAAAACATTCTTTGTGTTTTCCGAGTTTTACTAACAATTTTTATGGATACTACCTGTTATACAATTGAAGTCGCTGGTAAAAAAAAAGTAAGACTTATTCGCCCTTCCATAAATTAACGTAGGGATATGTTAAGGGTTTTAAACTCCTGTGTTCAAGTATTATTTTGTTCTTGATTTGTTATTAATTTTGTAGTCGGCTGGAATTCGCTCATCTAAAATAAAAAAGTAAAAATGTGATTCATGTGCACTTTTAAGTCTCACAATTCCTTTTATTGCAAGTATCTTTAGAATTCAAGTTTTTTGTAATGTTTAGAATATGTGATTTGAGGTTAATTGTACAATCATGCATTTTGTATTAGCTTTTGGAGATCAAACCAAGAAGCCTGTCCTGCCCGTAAAGTCATAAACCGACGCCATATTGTATGCTAATTTTTGTAGGTAGCCTACTTCCTGTGGCATTGAACATTTTATGTAAACACAAGACTCATGTAAACAGTAGATTCTCTAGATCTAGGCCTTAACACAAATTATTGACTTATTAGTAAAATATTTCTGTAACTATTGTGAGTTACTAGATCTAGATCTATAGCTCACGCACAAACCCCTGAATTGAATGCCATGAAGTCTCAGAGTGCAAGTCTAAAATCTAAATTTTAAATGTGTCTAGAATTTAGATTTTAGATCTAGATTCTAGATCTAGAACTAGAATTAGAATCTATTGAAATCTATTCTAAAATAAGTCGAATTTATAGACTTGTAGAATGTAGAATCTCTAAATTCCTGATCTAGACTAAGAATCTACTCTAGACTCTAGAAAAATCTAGTTTTATATTTTATTGAGTAGTTTGTTTAGGCCTAAGTTTAGTTTTAGTCTAAGTCTACTACTGGATTTAAAACTAAAAAGTCCACATGAGTCATAGTCACTAAGTCACAGTCATGTATTGGCAGTTTTGATAACAAACAGATCTAGATTAACTATTAACTTGTCTATAGGCCCCTACTAGAACTATGTCCAAAGAGTTCTAGCTAAAGATTCTACCAATTTAATGATACAGCAAAAATTCTTTCACATTCTGTTAGGCCTCACAAGCTGCAATGTGCAAATGTTAAGATTAGGAGATGAAACTGTTAATATTTACTATTTACAGTTTTACAGCTGTGTTTTGTTTTTAAAAAATAAACCCAATTGGGCCCACTTTTGTTCTCTCCTTTTTTAATTTTAAAAAGTTTTAAAAAATAAACCCAGTGTATTCTTCTTCTAGTGTTATACAGTGAGCTCTCTCAATAATAGATTCCGAGTAGTTCTGTAACACATGTTTATTGTTCTACAATGAGCAATGGGTTAGTAATGATACTGATCAGCTAATCTCATTAAGAATTAAGGTGTATGTTCAATACAAGTGTCAGATACACAGACACAGTAATGGTAGCTTCATTTAAAAAGTGTAAGATTACTGGTAGTAGGCTACTATAGGGTAAAGGAGGGCGTTAAGAGCCACACTTTTTAGCACCTGTACATTTTTAGAGATTTCTACTAATCTAAGAATTTTTTAGTAATGAAAATATGGCAAAATTATTCTAACATATCTTACACAATATAAAAATAATAACAAAGTCTATTAAATATACTTTAAATGGGTTTAATTGAACATTTATTGTCATACCCCCAAAATCAGCATTTGGGGCGAAAGGAGCCGGGCAATGGGGCAATAAGTATTATTACTATTATCTCCTAGTTTAGACTAACTCCGCAATAAAAATAATTGATTTCTAACCCCAAAATAGTTAATGCTGTGTACACACACTTTAACTGATACTAGCTATCACTAGGCCCCAATGGGCCCAGTCTACAGCTGATACAATTGCAGGTGTACATAGGGCCTAAAGTCTAGTAGTTTACAGTAGGCACATTAGTATGCCTAGTGTGTAGCTAGTATACTAGTGTGTAGCTGTCCAGAGTTAACATTCTTGTATGTAAAAAGGGGTGGTACTAACTAATCTGCCTTAATGCTTTCCCCTGATAAGCCATGTGTGCTATACATTACATAACATGACATGGAGGTGAGAAATGTTGAGGGGAGAGCAGTGGTACTGGTTTCCCTTTGTTCTCCTTGCTGGACCCTGAGGGCCATAAATTACATAAGGAGATGCTATCTCTGGTTGGCTGAGATCTAAGAACTAAGTCCATGCTACTTACAAAGAGATAAGTTTTATGGTGGGTTAGATACAGGTGGGGGCTGGGTATCATGGGGGTGAGAAATGATGAGGGGAGAGCAGTGGTACTGGTTTCCCCTTTGTTCTCCTTGCTGGACCCTGAGGGCCATAAATTACATAAGGAGATGCTATCTCTGGTTGGCTGAGATCTAAGAACTAAGTCCATGTTACCTACAAAGAGATGAAGTTTTATGGTGGGTTAGATGCAGGTGGGGTCTGGCTATCATGGAGGTGAGAAATTGTGAGGGGAGAGCAGTGGTACTGATTCCTCTTTGGTCTCCACCCTGCTGGACCATGAAGGTCATATATTACATAACATGCCACCCCAGATTGTCTGAGATCTGTAACTGTAATCCATGTTACCTACAAAGAGATGGTGGGCCAGAAACTGGTGGGGGCTGGGTATCATGGGGGTAAGAAATTGTAAGGGGGGGGAGCAGTGGTATTAATGTGTCTGACCACTTCCCTGCTGGACCATGAGGGTCATAAATTACATAACATACCACCCCAGATTGGCTGAGACCTAAGAACATTTATTCCTGTTACCTACAAAGAGATTAGAAGTTTTATAGTTGGTTAGAAACAGATGGGGGCTGAGTCGGCTGTATTGCCCCTTAGGGGTAATAAGTACTTGTACCATTTTAAAAATTACCTTGCTAACATCAGATGACTGAATTTTTACTTTTTAGCAGGTTAGAATAGTATTTCTATCATTTAGACACAAGTCTGTTTAACAATTAATACATTTTGTGTTAACTATTCCTATACCAGTGTCATATTCAGTGGTCTAATAAATGAGAAACTTGCACATAGGGTTTCAAGAGCCACATAACAGTATCTGTTATAACTTTTCTAAACAGGCAAGCTAGTGGACAAAATTAATGTATTCATGTAGATTTAGTTATTATCTTACAAATAAAACCATTATGGTAATGATCAGTCAAGTTTTACTCTGATAATGATAAAAACTTCAGAGCATGGTAAAATGGGACAAATGTCGGCCATTTTGTTTCGGCACCAATAATCACTGTGCAAAAAAAATTCACCAAAATAAAACTATTCTAGCCATAGCTATAAAAATAGTGTTAAAATGTACAACAACCAATGCTCTAATACAGGAACAAAGAATGGGCTTGAAAAACTCATTTGGTTTATTACAAAGTGAAGTTTCGCAAGTTATGTCTTTTTGGAAAAAAAGTTCACAAAATGGTTTTATGGAGATGAGAAATTTTAGGGAAAGAGCAGTGGGATTAAATCTTGTCTCATCCTCTCCCTATTGGACCAAGTGGGTCATAAATTACATAAAATTAATCCTCTGCTTCTCTGTTATCAAAGAACAGCAGTGGTTGTTACCTCAGAAGTAGATTAGCAGTGTTATTGGGGGTTTTGTGGGGGTGGGGTGTTGATTGGGGCTTAATACCACACGGCTCTTAACGCCCTCCTTTACCCTACAGTAAACTAATATTATTTGGTAAAGTCTGTGCTGCCAAAGCTTAACCATTATCTTGATAACTCAAATTTCTGTCTAACATTTACACAAAACTAGACCCATAAATTAATATGTTTAATTAAAACAAAAATTGATTCCTACTTATCCTTAAGGGAAAAATAAGGTTAATAGTTAAACTATTAGTTATTTAATAGTCCAAGCCCTATTAGTATTATAAATGCAATTGTAAATTATATATATAAAAAAAAGTCAGAAAGTGATGCTGGTCCTTGTTGTTTGGTTTAGGTATTATGTGCCTCAGGTGTTTTGTCTCAGGTTTAACAGCTGAAGAGATAATTAGTTTCTCTAAAAATTGTGTTGTATTATTTTTTTTTACATAAACCAAAGTTACTTTGTTATTGGTAGTTATTATTTAAATTTTAAGATTATAGTTCACATTGTTTTCTTTTTTATTATCTGGTTTTCTAAAAAAATTGCATACATTTTTGTTTCTTTTGCAGATGCTGTTTGATTTGGATTTATAATTCAAAGTAATGCATAGCTAAACTTCAAAATCTAATCCACAATCATCAAAAATGGTTCTCGACTTTGATGTAAAAACATTTTGTCAAAATCTGCGGGCTACAAAACCACCATATGAATGTCCTGTTAAAACATGTCGTAAAGTTTATAAAAGTTTTTCGGGGATACAGTTTCATATGTACAATCATAATCATGATAATCCTGATTCACCTGGAACTGGAGCAGCAGCCAGCCCTTCAGGAGGCGGTAGAAAACCTGGAAAACGCAAACAAAAAAATTGGCATCCTCGCCAGGCAAGAAGATCTCCAACACCACCAGAGTTCATAAGATCACCTCAGAGAGAAACATTAAGTTATGCTGAGTCTCAGAGACTTGTTGAAATTGATTTAGATGGTTGTCTTAGAAGAATTGATATCTGCCAGCCACTTGAAATAATTTCACAAGATGAAATTGAGAACCAAGACAACACAGAAAAAGAAGAAAACGAAGAAAAAAGTCCATCAGGGAGACCAGTTCGTAATTTAGAAAGCAAATCTAGAAAGGAATCATTAGCTGTTGGTAGTTTACCACCTGAAATAAATCCAAACAAACTTCCAGAACCAAATGTTAAAGTATTAACAGATTATGTTAAGCCTAGCAAAACATCATCACATCCAGCATCATATTATCGATATATCGAGAAATCTTTAGAAGAGTTGGATGAGGAAATTGAATATGACATGGATGAAGAGGTAAAGTATTCATTATTTTTTTAAACATTATTTATTTATTTAATATATATTTTTATTGGTGTGGTCTAATTTTTATTTTTTACCCTGTTGCACAAATCTAAATTTTAATGATCTATTGCTAGGACCATTCATGGCTGGAAATTGTAAATGACAAGCGAACAAGTGATGGAGTAGCTGCAGTAGCACAAGATACCTTTGAACTCATGATGGATCGTTTTGAGAAAGAGGCTTTCTTTCAAAGTCAGCATACTGGCAAAGAACAAGGTCCATCCATGGATGATGATGCTGTGTGTAGTATTTGCATGGATGGTGAATGTCAAAACAGTAATATGATATTGTTTTGTGACATGTGTAATTTAGCTGTTCACCAGGAATGTTATGGAGTTCCTTACATACCAGAAGGACAATGGCTGTGCAGGCGTTGCCTCCAGTCACCATCTCGTGCTGTTGACTGTTGTCTGTGTCCTAATAAAGGTGGTGCTTTTAAACAGACAGATGATGGACGTTGGGCGCATGTTGTTTGTGCGCTTTGGATTCCAGAAGTAGGATTTGCTAATACAGTTTTTCTTGAACCTATTGATTGTCTTCAAAGAATTCCACCAGCTAGAAGAAAATTAACATGTTATATTTGCAAACAAAGAGGTGCTGGTGCTTGTATTCAGTGTCATAAAACTAACTGTTACACAGCTTTTCATGTGACTTGTGCTCAGCAGGCAGGACTTTTTATGAAAATAGAAGCTGTTAAAGAGCCTGGTCCAAATGGTATATCTGTTGGTGTTAGAAAGACAGCGTTTTGTGATGTTCATGCACAGCCTAGTGCTGATAATTCTATGTTCCCCGATGATGAAAAACAAAGTGGTTCAAAAGAAGATGCCCGTGAGCAAGCTCGTATTAAGATGAGAAAAGCAAGAAAAATTCTTGCACAAAAGCGTAATGCTATACCCAATGTGTCCATTCCAATTATCCCAGATGAAAGGTAAGCTGATTGTTGCAATTTTTTATTTTAATGAATTATTTTGAATGTTCTAAAAATAGTATTACAAAATTTTTTTTCTTTATATCAGTCACAGCTAATTTTTAGGTAAAGTAAATTAACCAAAAACATGAAAGTAAGGTAGCATATATAAACTATTTATTACTTTCAAGATACTTTTTTAAATTTTAAAAATAAATCAACAGTACATAACATTCACAATCACAGAATGTAGAATGTTCTCTGCCTAAGATATTACAATTTTTCCAACATTAGCCATCTACAGAGGTCTAAACAAAAAACGCTTATTAGCAATAACAAAATTACTAAATTAAAATAATACCTTAAGCTAAATCGAAATAAATCATTTTGCATCAATGACTGACGGCAACATTGCCACATGAATTGATTTTTTAAACTATTGTTTAGAGTCTTGCAAATATACTCAGAAATAAAAACATGTTTTATCATTAGAAAACTTTAAAAGAAAGATCCTTTTTGCACATATTCTGAAATTATTGTACTTCAAGAGGAATGTTTTAATCATTAAAAATAATTTTTTGAATAAACCAATGTGAATAAACTTTTTAAAATACATTCATTTTACTTCTCCCATTTTCCCAAATTTGATGCTTAAGTTTTAATGCTTCTTGAAGAGTTGTGGTTAAAAAAATAATTAATTTTACCTATACATGTTGCCTTTATGCAATTCCTATAAGCTTTTTTGTAGGTTTTATAGTCTACAACAAATGTAGGCTATAATTCAAATAGCTTCTTTTTTAATGTGTTAAAAGTTATATTCTTTCTTAATGTAACTCACAAGCATGTTTATCCTGTATATTAATACACATTTTAAAAATATTGTGAGTACTATAGTTTTACAGAAGTATAAAATAGAATGTAGTTAGAACCTATGTAGTCACTATTTTCATGTTTAACAGCCTTATGGAAATAAAATCTTGTAGAATTACTGCTAACAGTAAATCAAAAATATAGCTCTTGGTATTAATATAAATAAGTGCACCCCATAAACATGTCTATTTTAGAAGAGTATGTATCAAAAGCAGGAGATGCAGTATAAACAAATATCTACCTCATCCTGTAATAATTGTGCTTTATAAGAATAGCTGAATAGGTCTAGTAAAATAAAAATAAAATACCAATACAATAATTTAGTGGCTAGGCAGGGATTTGTCATGGGAGCATCTTCAGACTTTCTTCCAGTAAATATAATTTTTCCCCCATTAATATGTGTATGTTTAAATTAGTAACTGCATGATAAACAGTAGATTATCTTCATATCTGACATTTGCCATAATGGTGTTTACCTTAATAAAACTCTATCTCCCCCTTGCCAATGCCACTGCCATAACTTTTATCTCATGTACCCGGGTTTTCAGAAGTAAATATGTTAATGTCAATTTTTGTTTGTTAGTAGTTGTCATTGAGTTTATATTTTGTTTCAATTTATTAATTTTTGTTGTTAAAGAGTATTATATGACTACTTTTAATTTCTGTAAAATGATATACAATCAATATACAGGGTTAGCAAAATATCATCAATGATTTCTGTCCCAAAAAAAGAGGAGTTTATGAGGGCTTTATTGAGCTATTGGACTCTAAAACGACAATCACGATTTGGAGTACCCTTGCTAAGAAGACTACAGTCAAATCATATGAGTAGAAACAGAGAACATGTATGTCACTCTTGAATTAAAATAAATTTAAGTGGTTATTTATTTCTTTTGTAATTAAATGGTAAATATCACACTCGCCTTTTGAAAGTTCGATGCTTTTTCAGAATATTAGCTCCTAGTTATTGTAAGTTTTTAGAAGCTACTCATGAATTTGGGTTTATCTTTTTGTTTTGGTTATAGTCTAGAAATGACAAGCACAATCAAGAAATGCGTGAAAAATTGAAGTATTGGCAGCGCTTGCGCCAGGATTTAGAAAAGGCAAGGCTGTTAGTAGAGCTCATACGCAAGAGGGAAAAGCTGAAAAAAGAACTGGTAATTATTAAAGTTTTTCAAATGTATTTAGTCCATATTTAAGTTCTAATTTATTGTGTAAACTTTAGTTCCAGAAAAGCTTTTGGAATTATTTCTATTTTGTGCTTTATCAAGATAAAGGTATACCAATTATCAATGGAGTACAAACTGCAGCCATTTATCATGCTTCAAAGGCACACATTAAATCAGCTTCAGGAAAAGGATGCAGAAGACATTTTTGCCCACCCTGTATCAGAAGAGGAGGTTAGAAATAATTTCTTTTATGTTTTTGCAAATACTCTATTAATATTTTCATCTTATGTAGCTTTTGAAGCTCAACTATACACTAAAGAGAAACTTCATTGAAAACCAATAATTAATTTCTTTTTTTTAAAAAAAAACTTTCAGGCACCAGATTATAAAGATGTTATTAAACATCCTATGTGCTTCTCTGTTATGCGAAACAAAGTTGACACACATAGATACAAAACGATGGAGGCATTTGAAGCTGATTTTAAGCTTATAATACACAACTGCTGCATGTACAACGCCAAAGATACAGTTTTTTACAGAGAAGCTATGTTGTTGAAAGAAGAAGTATGTTTTGTTTGTTTGAAAATTAAACATTGCTTAAACATTAGTATCATTTATTCAGGAATTCCAATATTTTTGTTGTTGAGTAGAATGTTCTTTTATTTTTCTTTGATTTTTACCACTATATATATATTTTTTTCTTCGTCTCAGGGCATGGAAATAATCAAAGATGCTAAAAAGTTAGCTGAGCAAGTAGGCTATGATTATGATACAGGTCTGCATGCTGATGGACCAGTAACATCTAAAGAGCACCATATTCCAGAAGAGTGTATGTTATTTTTTGTGTATATAGCCTTGTGTATAAATACATAAATAAATAAATATAGATATAGATAGATATATATATTCGGTTTTGATACTACTTTAAACTTAATATTTCAGTTTTTACAATTCACTAAATGCAATTAAGGCTTGACTCAATTTATTCTTATTTTAAATAGTAGACACTTTGTTGGATGGAGTAAAACCTGAAGGGCCATATGAGGAACAACTTCAAGTTCTTTTAAACAAAATGGAAAATGCCAGCAAGAATTTAAAAGGAGGTAGGCCTACTCAATTTATCGCTTTATTAAAATATCAGAAACTGAATTTGTGTGGAGAAAGTTAAACCTGAGTGGAAAAAAAGTTTCATAACTTAATCAAATATACAGTTTGTCCAATGTTGGCTTTTTTGTTCCTCTAATATCAATAGGTAAAAAGGCAAAGTTTTTAAAGAAAATTCGAAATGAGATTGCATCTGTCCGTCGAAAGTTAGCCTTGGATAAAAAGAAAGTGGGCAAAAATAAAAAGTCAACAGATGATGTAAAAGAAGAGCATAAGGATACTCAGGATGATAGTCTTTCCTCAGTTACAAATGATAAAGATGAAGTTAAAGCTGAGGTAAAGGAAATTCAAAATAAAGAGGATAATGCCTTAAAAGAAACAGGTATTTATTGTTTTTACATAACACAGATAATTTTCAAATTTGTGATTAATGTATTAATTACTATTTATTAATTTAACAAGTTTGTAATGTAACACAATGAGTACTAGTGTTATTCATTGTTTTTTTTCAGTGACATCATCAGATGGTGAAGCAGACACCCCTGTTCAGTCAAATCAGAAGGGTACTAAAGGCAACCAGAAACGGTCACCCTCTCGATCACCTTTACGTGCATCTACTCCTTCAAGTAGCAAACCATCAGCTAGGGGATCTAGGAGTAGAGGCAGAGGACGAGGAAGCCGTAGCAGATTAGCATCATTACATTCAGACTTGCCAGAGACTCCTTTAAAACCAGGTTAGTTAAAACTTATAAAAATATACATTTACATCTATAAAGGGTTTGTACAAAAGTGTTGTAATTTAAACATTGGTTAAAAGAAATAAGATTTTTTTTTGTTAATGGTAGTAAAATAAATGTTTACTTTATTCCTAGGTGACAAAAATGCAAAGGACTCAGAAAAGGTCAGCCCAATCTCCCCAAAACCTGAAAAAGTTGAGTCTAAAGAAAATTCTGCTAGAGGGAACAGTGCACACACACCATCTCCTGCTGGAGTAAATAGAAGAACTGCTGTATTATTTAGTAGCAAAAAAGGACGTAGTACTCCTGTGCCAACAAAACCATCATCTACCACTTCTTCTGCATCATCAAATGCTTCTTCTGTTTCTAATACACCTTCTGTCAAAAAAGCTACAGGAAGGGGTGCTAAAACCAGGCAGCATCAAAATCAGCTTCAAGTTAAAGTTGCTGAAGCTACAGAGGCTGAAAAAAACGTAGAAGCACCTCTTAGTCCACGTACTAGAGGACCTGGGAGTCCTACTGGGCGTAAACGATCTGCTAGCATGGCTGCTCAGCCGTCAGAACAAACTGATACGAGTGCTCAACCCACACCTGCCAAGCGTGCAGCTACCTCCCTGTCAACAAATAGTGAAGCACCACCTGTTACATCAGTACATGTAGGTGGACCTGATATAACTGAAAGTTTTAAAGCATATAGAGTGAGGGGAAACATTCGTAGTAGTTCTGAATCAGAAACTACAGATGAACTGAGTAGTGGTGATGAATCACTTTCTGATCCCACATCGGACTCTTCAAGCATCCATAGTCCATCTGGTAAGCCCTTTTCAGAAAATATTTGACTAAAGCTTTTATTATATTTGTTTAGTAGCATAGCTATCTAATTTCATTAATCACCCAGCCATGTTTAAAGCTTTTAACTTTTCCCTTTCTTTCGTATAATTTGAAATCATTTATATAAGCATCTTCTCTGTTTATCTTGGGTTTTTTCTTTTTTTTTTGATCTTTCTGGCACTTATTCCTTGTTACTATAGTGGCATTTATCATTATTGCTTGTTTCACATTGCATATAAATCAATTATGCTTTGACAAAATTATTTTTTAACTATAGTTTCTTCTTCATATTCATTAAAAGCTTGGTATTTTTGCGCATCATGATAGATTTGGTCTTTCTCATTGTAAGGTGGTGAAGTTAACAGCTTTATGTAGAACTCATACATCACTAATTTCTTTGAGTATCAGTTTGAGGTCATTATATTTTATTTCTAACTGAACTACTTGAACATATCTAAAATGTAATTATGCTTTTTGTTTTCATTCACACGTTAGTAAAGAATACATGGCACCTTATCGCTAAATATTTCTAAAATGCACCCAAATCAACATCTAACTTCCAACTTAGACAAGAAAATAATTATTCTTGTATTAATTAATCAGCACTACTAATTGTTTTGCTTATGGATACAAAATACTGAAATAAGCATTAGTGTTGTTTTTTTTTTTACATTTATAAGCAAATGTATAGTTCTGATTTTTCCAAGGAAATGTTTTGTGTAGGACATGGACATAGTTCTTTTTTGAAGAGATTGATACCAATCACATATATTCTGTCCACAATATGTTTAAATGACATTTTAGGTTTTGCTTGTATTTTGTCTCTTTGGTTATTAGTTCAAAAGGTTGGATCTTTTGTAAATGTTTTTATCTTTGTTTGAAAGCAAACCTAATACATGCTATTATTTTGCTAGTTGAAAAATGAGAGTTTCTAAGTCTTTCATAGCAACTTCTTTTACTATCTTTTAAAGTATTTCAGTCCTTAGCTACTTTTGTTAAGTATTATTACTATTATCCAGCTCATCTTGCATTAACTACTATTTTAACAACCTCTCATTCACAATAACCTAAATTCTGTATTTTAAGGATGTTTGGTATGCAGATTATTATTTTTAAGTTAGAATCTTCAGTTGTTTCTTTATTTTGTCATAGATTCATATTCTTTTTTCAATTTGAATTCTATCAGTAGAATAGTAATATAAACTTAGTTACCTCAGTTTGTATCTTTTGAAACAATATTTCTTGAATATCCCACTATATTTCTTGGATATACATATTTACTTTTCATTTACATGCTTTGTCAACATTATTTAGAAGCTTTAAATGTTTAGGCATAAAGTCTTTTCTTTACACCTGCACTTTTGATATAAGTAAGGTACAGATAAATCAATGGAAATAACTTATACAAGTTTGATGTTACATAGTTACAGACTTACATATACCTAATTGCTTTACACATAATAAGACACATTAACATGGTTCTGCCATTTACAGTCACCTCTTTCCCACCCAACATTGCTTGTTGTATCATGCCCATTAAACCTCATTTCATTGCTGCCTGCTTCGCCCTAACACTTTTTGCCTTGTCCACTGACCACCGCATCGTCACACAGGCCGTACCCGCACCACCAGCCTGCGAGAGGGGCCCGAGGGGTCGGATCTGGCCGAGAGTACTGAGGGCATCTCACCTGCCACTTCGCCAATGTCCTCAGGTAGAAGCAGTAGTAGCTTGCACTCACACTCTATGGCTTTTAGTCTGTTCTTGTGTGTTGGGTTGATTTAACAATTTTTTCCTGCTTGTTTTTTCTCATCCATTTTATTTAACACGGTTTCCTTTGGCATTTGCATCATTTCATTTTTTATGTGCCTTGTTACAAAATCCAAAATCTAATCTCCTATTGCTGTAATGTTAAGCAAGTAGATTAATGTTATTGTCATACAATTTAATTGAAATCCTTACCATTTGCTTGTGATGTGAGGTGCCCTATATAGTGACCTTATTTTATTTATATATATATATATATATATATATATATATATATATATATATATATATATATATATATATGAAATTTAGAGCATCTCAGTGTCACTGGTTTGCAAGTTATTTATGTTGTTTAAATATGTTTTTCAAGAGATTGCTTCTAAACCACTAATTTCCTCAGAGCAATCAGAGTCACATCCTGAATGTTCAAAATCATAGTTGAATAGACTGAAGTTTGATGAACTTTTCCAATAAACCTTGTGGAACTGCAAAAAAAGATTTTCTTATGAAAACATGCCAAAAAGAAAAAAACATTAAAATGAAAACCATTAAGCTAATAAAAAAACATTACTGCTATCTTTGCTCAAAATTTAAATTGTCTTTTTCTACCAATAGCAGAGAATAGATAGATCTCTGTTAAGCTAAAGATTAATTGTCCATCACCTTCTTAAATAAACTAGTATTAAATGTAGTAGTACTATATTTTCTTAAATTAGTTATTCAAATTCTGCATTAGAATTTAGAATCTTAAATATTTCACACCTTTTCACACAATATTGTTGTACACCTGTCATATATATAAATATATATATGTATATTTATTTATTTACTGTAAAAAGTTCTATTTCCTAATACATTTATTAAAATGTACCAATGTTACAGGCAAATTTAAGTTGAAAATTATGTGCACACATGTTTTGCTCGCATATAATATATTAATAAATGTATCAAACTATTACATTCTATTATTTTGAAGTAGAATAATATTCATTTTATTTCTAACTGTGAATAGGTGTGCTCTTATGATTTTCTGCTATTTTCTATCATCTATCAGCAGAACATGTTTCTCTTTCAAAACCAAACACTCAAACAATCTTGACTATCTTTTTATGTTATTCTTTAAAAACAATAAATTTGTGGAACATTTATTATTGTAAGTTTCAAAACCAATAATGTTACTTTTACAAATCGCTTATATTGTACTTTATTTAATTGGAATGTTTTAAGAGAAGCTAAAATTTTTTGTTTTTTTTGCATTATTTAATAATATTGGGACAAAAATACTCGTAAGTGAATGAATGAATAACTCTTGTTTTGCCCTTGCAAGAAAAAACTGCAGAAGCATGCTACTCTCTGGTCTTAGTATTTGCATGTTGTTTGTAATAGAATAGCAATGCTGGTAATTGATATTTATTTCTTGTAAATTAAGTTTTACTGCAAGAGCTTTCTTTACTATTAAATCTTACTATTTAAATTAGAAAAAACATAACGAATTTAAGTGAAAAAACCATTAAATTACCATAAAAATCTTTTAGTTGGATCAATACTTATTATTAAATGCCTAGAAATGCATACATAAATAATGTTTTACTTGCAACTCCTTACTACCCATAACTGTTTTGTTTTAATGTTTGTAATTCTACCCTGATATGTAATTTATTACCTTTTTTTGCTTAAGATTATTGTCTAATTAATTGCACCCTGCTTGATTTCTAAACCATTATGTTATTAATGCATTATACCATTCATTCTTCTGTTTGAGTGCATTTGTTACTTCAGTACTATTGTATTATAGAGCAGTTGAATTTGAAGAAGTAGAGACAATAAAATATTATGAAATTATTTATTTGTTTGTCATTTGTATAAAAGGTAAATCATTCTAAAATATTACTAACAATAAGCTTTTTTTTTTCATTTAAAAAAAGTAACCACTCCTTGCATGTGACTAATTTCCTAGGTCAAAGATATATATTTTTATATATTTATTTAACAACTATAAACACAAAATATAGGAGCAAATGCACTCTTAAATTTATCTTAATTTATTAAAACATTTTCTGTTATTACATCACAAAGAGAATAAAAATCTTTCTTTCTTATTAGCTAGCATATATTGCTTGAATTCAAACATGTTTGTTGCTTCATTGGTTATTATGTTTACAAGATGTTTATTAACCCCCAAATGTTTTCTGTTAAGCATGAAAAAAATGCAACTAGCAAAATTAATTTGTATTTTCCCAAGTCACAAATAGCAGTAGTCTAGTTAACATTTGTACCAGGTTGTGTTAATGTATTGAAACAATATCTTAAGTAATTTTAAATCTGAAGTGTTTGTTAAGCTGCAGTAAAAGAGGAAACAAAAATTGTAGTTTTTTTCTGGTTGATTATTTAAGTTTTCAAAAAGATTTCAGATTTTTAAAGTCAACATGGGGTGGGGGAGACGAAGAAGTAAATGTATTTTGCTTTGTACAACCCTCATCAGTCTAGATTCATGATAGTGGTTTGTTACAAGATTTTTCATTCAGGTTTTTAAAAAAATTGTCCAGCTTTAGTCATACCTACTTAAACTGATGTGTATCTTATGTAACTAAGAAGTTGTTGCCACACCAGAAGCCAAGATTAATAGGGAAATACATTTTTGGAAACCTTGTGAACAGGATGCAATAATTGAAAACAATATTTCATTGTCCTTGTAAACAAAACTATTCACTAAGCATAGAAAGATTTCTATTACTTAAAATTGTAATTGATTTGAAAGAAAACTGCTTTAAAAATTATATGGTGAAAGTCAACAAATTTCCAGAAATGCAGAATTAAAAAAAAATAATTTCCATTCCTGGCATTTTAATTTGCTATTTCAGGAAATTTGTCCAAAATGCAAGAGCAGCACACCTGATATGAATCAAGCTATTACCTACCATTTATTATTCTACAATGATTATTTTTTTAAAAACACTTTTGGTTAGAAAAACTACTTTCAAAAAATATTAGGCTGAATAATGCCTTAAACACTCCCTGACTTCCAGGCCGAAACCGTCGCAGTCCCAGCATTGACTCAGAGGACATGATCACGTTAGAACCTTTGGATCTTGTATGGGCAAAATGTAGAGGATATCCCTGGTATCCTGCGCTTGTAAGTAAACCCTCCCTTGCTCAAAAGTATCAAATACTTCACTGTGCTTAATGTAATTAAATATATTGATCAGTAGGTTTTTCTTCATGTAAGACTGCAGATTCACACTAATATATATATAATATAAATTCATACTCAATTATATTTACACACCCCCATCCACCCTCCGCATCTTTATGTCATTAAATATACAATAGACTTTTTTCTTTCTTTCTATTTTAGTTACTAAAATACCACTTTATATTAAAACCTTGAGCCTTGGTAGAAAGGCCTACTATATAAAATTTTTGCATTAAAGTATAATGGAAGTATTTATTTCATAGATTATCAATCCAAAAATGCCGAAAACTGGCTACTTCCATAATGGAGTTCCTATACCAGTTCCTCCTGATGAAGTTCTTGAACTGCAGCAGCGGTATTCAGAGTCAGTTTACCTTGTTTTGTTTTTTGACACTAAACGCACATGGTGAGTGATAAGTTAACATTTCCAGTTTTAGTAATGTAATCTGAAGATGGTTTATGATTTGATTTGAGTAGATTTTAAAGATATTTTAAGTGATTTTTATACAACCCCCTCCCCCCTATTGAAATAAGCAAACAAATGGGTTAAATTCTTCATTTATCATCTGGTATTTAGGAAGTAATATTTGATCTGCTTAAAATTTTTTTTAACTCATGGACATATGTAAAGACTTATTCAGATGTCAAAAAGTTTGCTCGTCATATTACCTATCATCACCATAAACTCATTCTTAAAAAATTAACAGGCAATGGCTACCTCGGAGTAAATTGGAACCCCTGGGTGTCAACTCAGACCTTGACAAGGCCAAGCTAATGGAAAACAAGAAGCCAAATGTCCGCAATGCTGTGAAAAAAGCATATGAGAAAGCAATTGTTCATAGATGCAGGGTTAGAGGTGATCCTAATCCATTGTCTGATGATTCCAGCTCAGATAACAATCCTTGATAGTTGTTTTGTCAAAAATTTGCATTAAAAAATTATCAATAAACTACATTTTTTTCTCACTACCATCAGACTAACTAATAATTGAAGGAAATACTTTTAACCTGTAAATCTTTTTTCTGTTCGGTCAAATCAGTAGAATGAAATTCCAGCTCCTTACTTCTAACTTTAAGTTTGGTAGCCTTTTAGTTACAATAAAGTGGTTTTATTAAGGTATTTCTATGATAATCCAATGTCTTTAAGAAACTTTTTTAGCATACATGAAATATGTAGTGTAATGGAATTGATAACACAGGTATTATATGGTTTAATTTTAATTACATTTTTTATCTAATTTGGTCACAAGATAATTTCATTTTAGATAACTTGTGTGCACTTGTTTAAAATGTTTTATTTAAAAAGAAAGTCCATCAGTAAATTAACTGCCACTGCATCTTTCGGTTGTAAAAAAAATAATGCAGTCTAATAGTTTCTAAACATTAATTTTTTTAATTTAAAAAATAATTAATTGTAAATTTTGTTTCATTTATTATGATCACCTTAAACTGATCATCTGTAAGTCACAAGCTTGTACTTTTTATAATGCTGCTTGATACTTTTAATTATTTAAATTATTCACTTTAATATTTTTTCATTCATAGATATAATTATATGTATTGACAACTGGCATATTGAATCATCTAGTTTATTATTTTTTTTGGCAAATGTAAGAGCAACATAGATACACAATACAAACATGTATTTCTTATCACTTTATAACAAAAAAAATACTGTTACAAAAAAATTAATGTCACTTTATTGAACTCTTTGTCTTATGATTAAAATATATATTGAAATTTGAGGATTAAAATATTAATTTTTCTTGAATGTGCATTTATATGTATTGCATGCATTATACAACAGAAATATGGCATTGTAAATTTAGTATAAATCATGCTTGTGAGGCAGCTGAACTAAACATGTTTGATGGAATAACTAGACTTTTTATTTTTGTTGATTACATGTTATATATACTGAAAATATTAAATACAATTTCTTCCCCCCTGCTGAAAGGCTTCATTGACAGAAGAGCAGATAAACTTCTTGTATGTAGTATTTGATGGATCTGGTTTTAGGAAAATTGAAGATTGAAAATTTTAGTCTTCATATAATTGTTGTCTGTTATATCATTTTGTTTATACTAAACACTTTGTTTCCTTTTTGTATAAATAATATATATTTTACTATACAAACTACATATGACCTGGTTTCATATTTTAATTAAAATGATTTAATTTTTGTTTGTTGATTTTCATTGTAATTTATAAATACATAATATATATACCCATCATTTAAATTAATGATTTAGATGTTGAAATACTTTTTTCTTCTTTAAAATAGTTTTCTAATCATTGTCTTGTATAAGCACAACTGGGTTAGACCCATGTCTAATTATTTTAGGACTCAGATCATGTCCTTTGGTATTGTAAGCATGTGGGGCCAAAGGGCATAATGAGTTGCTGGATCAATGAGTTTTGATACCAGGAACTGAATGCTCAAGATTTTGTTGCTTCTTTTACTCTAGTATTCATGCTATATCATTTTTGTTGGTACTAAAGATTATTTATTTATACTTTATTTTAGTCATTTTTTGTGTTTGTATTTTCATAAAGTTCTGCTTTTGTGACTGTGTGGTTCTGGAAGACGAGCAAATTTGATGCTTTACATCTATGCCATAGTTGTTTCGATTATGGCCAAGGCATAATGGTGTGACTGTTACTATAGCTAGTTCTACCAGTAGAGTATTGACACTTGAACCTGAATAATTCTGTCAGAGAAAATGGCTGAGTGATAGCAGACTATGCAGTAGGATGTACATATTTGAAATTTAGTTTACATTAAGGTCAAAAGGAGGTCTAAATGTGCAATGTACATTATAAAATGTATTGTGAATTTATAAAAGTATTTATTGTTCTTAGATATGTAGAAAGGTTAGAATATTTTTTGTGTTAAATATTTACTGCTTCAGTCAGTGTGATCCTTTTTGTTTTGTTTTGTTTCTCCTCTCAAAGGTTGACATCAATTGTACTCAAATTAATCTCAACTTTGACTCAAGGCTTATTAATTTTGTTGTTAAATCCATCTTTTGTGCACATTTCTTGTTGGTAGTAGTAATTAGGTTTTGTGTTTAGTGTCCACATTTTCCCTTCATAGTACTGGAATGTCATTTTGATGGGATGAAGACTAATTGATTTTAACATTATAAGATTAATTTTTTTCTATTTTATTTACTGCTTTGTTTTTCTTTAATTTGATAAGCAAAGTAGAAAGTAAAAAGTATTGATTTCTTTAAGATAATACATCTAGAAGAAAGGTATTGCTTTTTTTCCCATTAAGATCATGCTTCAAGTAGAAGATAACATCTACAAATTAAACTAGCTGTAAAAACATACTGTCACTAGGTGTTGCAGTTGTCATGATTTAAACTTATCTCTATCCCATTTAAAAATTTCAAATAATATATACCGAACAATGTTGTACTTTTTACTACTATATTGGTGATTCCTATTGTCTGTGTTACTGTGGTTACTAGAGAATGTGAGGATTTTAACAAGTTATTGTGCTAATTTTGATATCTGGTGAGATTTTCAAGTTTGAAACTTCTGTGTTAAGGAATGTAATAAAGACATAAAAGTGTTATGCCTGTTTTTTTGTTTTTTAGACCTGAGCTCCATTTTCTCCGCCTTGTTTGTATGTAGAAGTGCTGCAATCCTGGCCCTAAATCAACTGATCACTACATCTAAGTTGTTGTAGACAATCATTTTATCCATGATACCTATTTTAAGAACTTTAGTTAATTAAATTATTTCTTTGTTTATCAATCAGGGTTTTGTACACAAATTAAAAATCCCTCCTGAACTTTAACAGGATGGACTAGGTAACTTAGGTAGAGTCCCATCCAATAACAAACCCAGGGCTTAAACATAGCTTGTATTTTTTACACTACACTAAAATAATCCAATGTAATCTAACATATGAAAGATGCCAGAAAAAGCAAGCAGGTGAGTAGATATATATGGGACTGCTTGTAATTTTGTATCAGATTCCCTGTTGATGAAGGGTGCATCCAAGATAAGAAAAAGTAAAATACGCTGAATGCTTTACCACTCTCTACAGTCTGTTTTGTGGTTGTAGATATCACATTGCTTACTTTTTAAAATTAGCTTACACTGGAATCACCATGATGCAGAGACTATACAAAGCAGTATTTTTGGCATAGAATTATTTTGCAGCTGCTAACAATGTTTATTCAGGTTCCTACATTAAAACAGAGCTAAATAAGCATCCAACCATGCAATGCTTGACTCATTTAGACATGATTCTTTGGAAAAAAAAAAACAACCTTTGTATGTGTACTTATTCATGCTTTAATTTCAATACAAGTACACTTGAAATTAGATTTACAATTAAAAGTTTTTAGCCTCTTAGCAAAAATTGGCCTAAACCAAAGCATTGAACACAGCAGCAAAATAAAGCCAACAATGAAAAAGTTTTTGATAATTACTCGTTTTCAATTCTTTAATTGCTGCTATATCTCTTCACAGGTTTGCGTTAATATATTGGGATTTCGTTAAACAGTTAAAATAATATAGATCTAGAATATTCCAAAGTTACATGACAAAGTCGATCATCCACCAGCAACTGGGCTGCCCTAGTGAGAACCGTTGATCCCTGCTTGATTTCTAAACCTGATCTAGAAAATATTTTCGCCTAATGTTATTGTTTACAACAAACCCAGCGTGTATTCGTTTCCTTATGTGTTTTTCGTGTAACTACAATAGCAACAGGCGTTATATTGCAATATTTAGCAAGCACTGCACCATGTAAATGCGTAACGTAAACGCACTAAAGGGATACAACTCATAACGAGGTCGTTATACAAGTACTACACATTCTTGGGATGTTTTTTTTAATTTTCTGAAACAAATCACAACGCCAAGCACTCAACGGGTTGTAAATTACACAAATACACAGGTAGCTTTAACGCCAAGATGGATTAAAGCTATGCAAAGTGATATGTTATGATTTCTCTTTTCACATAGTTTAAGTAGTTTTTTTTTTTAAAGAAGGGAGAGCAAAAAGGTTAATATTTTTTAATGAGATGTAGATGTAGTCGCACAAAAGTCATTTTTCCAGGGCATAATCGTAACCCTTAGTCTCTAAGCGGCTAAGCCAAACCTTAACCAGATCATCGATACTTTTAAACATAAGCTCGATTCGATACAACTTAAATATATCCTGTCTTAGTTAACAAAGGAACAAAAAGAAAAGAAATTTTGTTTTCTCACGAATCAAACGGAGATTTAATCAACAAGCTACACTCGATCTAGGTCAGTTTTCAGTGCAAAGAGCTTGAAACTTAGCTCCCGTGTTAAACCCGCGGACGGACTCGACAATGTAAGAAAACCTGGTTTAAATTAATTTAAAAGTTATCAGACACTCGTTTTATCATCGCATTATCATTCGCCTGTCAGTGGGTTCCATGTCTTCCTTAAACCTGCTACTGCTAGTGCTACACAGGATGCTACATGCCATTGTCTGAACCAGATAGATTGGGCTACAGCACTGATGGCTACCAACTAAAGTCGCCGAGCAGATTCTCTTTCTAAGCCTATATATATATATATATATATATATATATATATATATATATATATATATATATATATATATATACATATATATATATATTTATATATATATATACCTGTCAACTATAACCAGTCCGCGGATTGGCCGGCCAAAGGCCGAAATCAAGCAAAGTTTCGGCGATATTGGCCGACTTCGGGCTTTGACCGTAACATATATTTAATATAGGCCTATATTAATATATATATATATATATATATATATATATATATATATATATATATATATATATATATATATATATATAATCCTACATTGCATTGAACCAATGTTCTATTATTTCTCCGAGAAGCATTAATCCCTGCATCACAGACCGATCCCACATCAGACAATCACATCCAGTGCCAATATTTTTTACTACTGTAAACGATAACCCTGATTGAGAGTATAACCGAAGCCACATTAGTTGTAGTAACGTACCATTCTCCTCGAAGCCTAGTTGTTTGTTATTCCGCAGTGGGCTAATCAAGTAAATAATAATCACTGCATTCTCATTTGGCAGTTGATATTGGCAGAACATTGGCTGGTGCTAGCCGAATGTGAGAAATAGGTTGACAACCTGTCTAAACGGCAGGCTGCAATTGTTGGATCCTCTCAGAGATTAGACTGACATGACATCTACACGTGTTGGCTGATACACCGCTCGACGGATGATATGCTGAGCTGTTGGTGGAGAACTTGAGGTGGAATCATAAAGGGATCTAGCTTTTCAGTTTCAGGGACGTATATATATATATATATATATATATATATATATATATATATATATATATATATATATATATATATATATATATACATATATATATATATATATATACATATATATATATATATATATACATATATATATATATATATATATACATATATATATATATATACATATATATATATATATATATATATATATATATATATATATATATATATATATATATATATATATATATATGAGGTTAAGCCAACCACCTGCCCGCCTATGGGTAAGATCTAACGGTTTTCTCAAAAGAAATAATTGACCAAATAAATTATTATTGGCAGGTGAAGTAGAGTATACATATTACTATACCTTGAGAATATTTTTTTTTTTGAAGAATAGAAATACTTTATTTTTCATTACAGATTAAAATGAGCTAGTTACTTCCCATTTCAAAATACAAATGTAACTAGGGGAAAAAACTATTAATATATTCAAAAAATGTATTAGAAATACAGAGAAATTCAGTAGTAATAACATAAAAGATTTGATCATTGCTTATTTTAAAATTAATCAAGAAAATTTAATATGCTGTGCGGTTTGTTTACATTTTTAATATTTTAAAGATTTTAGTATTGTTTTTTTTTGGCTCTAGATATAATAGAAAACATTAGCTATTTTAAATACATAATTTATTAGCATCAGAAAATACTTGAATTTAATTAATGTCTGAGCTTCCTAATTTATCTCAGTTTTCATCATCGGCTTATGAGTACTGTTACAGATTTACAATGGTAATAATGCTTTTTTACTTGTGGCCTACTTTCATTAATTAAGTTGGTTTACTTATACATAGATCTTATACTAAACGTCTAAATATTAAAAAAAAATAAAAAATTAATAAAAAACAACCTGAAAATGCAAATGTGTAATTAAATGATGATTCAAGGGATTTTTTCCCCCCTCGGCGTGGTGGGTGAGGGGGGGGACGTCATGTCGAACAAGGTAGTTACGGGCATTCACAGAGTCAAAAGATGGATATTAATCTAAAGTAGGTTAATTTCTAATTCAATTTTTTAATAGTTCTATTTTTTTAAAATTGTAAGTCAAAATAGATATCTGCTATAAATTAATCTTAATGTGTTGTCTTTTTTAAAAAAAACTCATCAGAGTTCTTTAGTGGATGTTTGTACATCTATATCTGGATTAATATTTTTCTTGTATTAGGGTTACCAACTCAGTCCATAAACTTTCTGTTGAACCTAAAAAAAAAAGAAGCGTTAGTTCCCCTCAGTAGTGAGGTCACATCTCCAAGGGCAAAGGTCACCATGTTACCTGTAGTCACACAACACGACGAATGCGGAATGGCGTGAGCACCTAACCACGTGAGTTGATCCTAGCGTCCTCAACTCACCGAGACACTCACACATGCATGGAATGCCACGAGAGTCTATAATCCTGATAATATCCCCATGGATACACATTGGATCAGACCCGACCCATTTTTTCTTAACTCGTCGTTTTAAAATGCCAACTTCTTTTTAAAAAAAAAGGTTTACACGTATACTCATAACCGGTTAATATTTATTCTCTTGACCCCGAATTCCCTCCCCTTACGTTTTTTTTTCTTCTTCGATTTCAACACGACGGAGCAACTTCGACAAATCACCTGACCTAGTTTCTGTAGAAGAGGGTCAACGCATTAGCAGCCAGGACGATTAGGTTGAAATTTAAAGTAGTAAATCCATTTTTTTTTAAATCGTTAAGTACGCACTAGGTATGTTTAATTACTTTTAAACCTTTTAAAAAAACTTAACTACTTAAAACAAAATGGTGTGTGAAGGTTTGCAGCGGCGCTGGGTGTGAAGTTAAAATTTTAAACTGGTTCGCCACGTGTAGTCTAGTACACACATATACATTTTAAAAACCCTATATAGGTTAAAGAATAAGTGACGGCAAATGTGCGGCTTTAAATCAATGCAGAGTTTCTTTTAGGGATCTCTTCGGGGAGGGGGTAGGTGCATAGCCCCAGAAGCACGTCCGCCTCCTCACCCCAACACCCAAGAACGAAATAGAATTTTTATAGGAAATTTATACCAGTGTTTCTTCCTGACTTTTTTCTCCTGGGGGGGGGGGGCACTTGATATTTACGGGGGGGGGGGGGGGAGTCAACATTTTCCGGGGGGGGGGGGGGCGGACACTGGTAAAAAATATGTTTTCTATATAAAATCCATTTCGTTCGGGGGGCGGGGGGGGGGGGGGGGGGGCAGTAGACATTTTTTTTTTGG